TCGTCACTGCGGGACTGACTCCAGCATGCCCACCCACTCTTCGTGACTAACCAGCCTTTGAAGTCGTGGTGCGTCATGGCACATTGTGACCGCCTACATGAGCACATCGCAAGGCTACTGTGGCATGGCGTGACATGGTCCTCTGAATAATCTTGGTTGCGTTTCGAAGTGGTGGGCGCGGGCGTTGTCTGGTCGCGAGCAAACACACTTGCCCTACAACCGTAACCGTTTCGTAGCCTTGGACCGGGTGTGGGGAGCCAAGTCAGAGCAATCTCGCTCTGGGACCTTGCGCTGCCACGGCACGCCATGTGCACACGCCGTGTGTCTTTGACCAGAGGCTCCCGAGGACTAGTCGTCATACACGGACCTCATGTTCCGCACCATACTAACGCAGCGTCTGGTAATCAGCGTGACATCTTGTTCGCGTGGCCCCTGGACCCTCCTGGCCCGACGAAATGGATAAGGTTGTGGAAGGCGTCAACCGCACCCTCGCTGGTACGAGCCCTCCTATCAGCAGTGCCGCCTGGCTTTTGCCAAGTATACCGGCCGCAGTGCAACTGGCACCTGTTCATTGACTGCGTGACAACACCCTGATGCACGTCGACCATGGAATGTAACACCGCTGTCTAACATCGACTCGGTACTCGTCTGACGCCATCAGCAATATTCCACGCTCCAGTACATCATGTCGCCATGGGCGCATCACTAATCTTTCCACCTGGTGTACACCGGAGGCCGCCCATGGTGGCTTTGAAAAGCTAGTGATAGCATGTGCGGGGTGAACAGCCTTGGAATCCGTGCCACTTGACCAGTTGAGACTACTTTAGTCGCAGAAGCTACTCTTGTCAAGCAGTCCTCGACCCACGCTCTCAACGCGGTAGTGGAGCCGTGTATTTTGACAGGGCATGAACCCCCAAAGTAGTATGTGGCTGACGCACGTCAGTACAGCGAGCGATCGTGGTTGCAAAATGCAAGGCCAGAACCTATTTGGGTTTTGCGGCAGGATTATGATCCGAGCCTCGCGGGATGTTCGAATTCAGAGTACGCAATCGATTTAGCTATGCGCCCGCTCCAGAACCACAGTTGAGCCATGCATGAGCCAGCCAGACAGTATATTTCGGGGTTGGAATTGCGCACTGCCGCAGATCCGTACTCAGGCAGGTAAACGACATCGTTCACACTGACTGTTGAGATTCTGTGGTCTCGAGTCAACAAGAACGCATACTGCAACATCCGAACAGCGTGTTCAAAACGCAAAAAAGTATGGGAAGTCGCACCGCCACAAATTATTGCGATGGCCAGAACCTCCAGCGCAAGGCATTGACCCTGCTTGTCTTGTGTGCTTGGGTATGGGCATGCGGGACACAGCGATGAGAAGGGCCGACACCAGACAAGCTATAGCGTAAAGGGCCTGTTTCGCGAAGATCCTAGTCGACCTCTCGTTGTGTGTTGCACATTCAACTCCGAACAATTATTGACCAGGTCGTGATTGTACCCGCCTGTATGCAAGACGTGTTTCATTTTCTGTTGATGGTGTTCGAAGGCACATGTCCTATTGGTGTGCGGACAGGTCTGCAGAGGCTTTGGCGACCTCCGGAATATTGACAAGCGATTCCCGTCGAAGGATAAGCGCAGAGAGGCTTTCCACCGCTACCATCAGCTTCTAAACATACGATTATCCCCAAATGGCACGACGGTTTGAAGTGGGTTCAGAATAGTCAACACACCGTTTAGATCCGGAGCCGAGACGGCGATGGCGCGACGTTCTCTTGCGTCGTTGACTAGCCACGCGATGTAGACTCGGGCGTTTACTCTGTAGTCTTACTTTCTTCGCTTGCATCAAACCCTGATTCGATGAAGATTGAAGCGACCCTCCGCCTGTAATGGGGTGCAGTGCTAGATTCACTAAGCGGTATACCCGCTTCTGGAAGGCCACACAAACGTGCGACCACAACAGCAACAGGCCATGGGCAGCACTTGGAACGCCCAAAGCCACTGCGACGGGTGATCAGCACAGGATTACTTGCTACTGAGTACCAATAGTTCGGAACCCTAGTTAAGATATCACGATCTTAGGGTTCCATGCCATGCGAACGATGCTACAACGAATGACAAGCCTTGAATACTCAGCGGGCTGTAATCATGCTTGACTGATAGCGCTGTGCGCCATCGTACACCAAGTCGTGCGAGCTCGGGAGCCAAATTTGGGCTCGTTACGATCGTACACCTCGCATTGCGAATGCATAGTTCCGAGGAGAAGACTTCGAGTGTGGGCGGCATGGCCCGTTACAGGGCTTAAGTGCCATGTTGTTTATGGACCGCCGTCGGCCGGGCTCACTGTGAGGGAGTAGCGAGGCGTGAAAGGTAATTCGTTGGCGTCGGTCTCGCCTATGCACGCGCAACCCCGCAAGCAAGCCACGAACCCAATTAGGAGGGTGAAAACACCGGCCAGATGGTTGATCATCCTTCCCGCGCACCGTGAGCCGTGCCATGCTGTGTTGGGACGCGACACACATGACGGCCCGAAAGCGAACAAGGATGCGGAGTAAACGTACGAGGAGTTCTGCTGTCGCTGCCCGCGCATGCTTTTCTCATCACCCATGCGCGTGTCCAGACCGTGGCTTCGGCTGATAGATTACCTTCCACGAGCAGAGCCTCATGATCATCGCAACCCTGCTGCAGCATGCGTATGGCTGGATCCCAATCTCTCAGGCCTCTGAGTGTCGGGGCAGACACTAGAGATGTCCACACAGTGCGGAGAAGTGGTAACTGCCGGTTTCTCAACATAGTCGGGAGTAGAAGAGAGCTGACCGCGTATTCTCATTTTTCAATGGAAGCGCCAAAAATACAGTTTGTTGTTCTTGAGTGCGCCCTATCGTTGGCTTGCGCAACAGAGCCCCCTAAACGTGTCGCTGGGCTTGACTGTGACTGCTATCCAGCAAGCACGGCTACGGTACCAGAAGGTTTTGCTTGCCTGGCGCCGCCCCGTATCTGCAGGCTGAAGCGGCTGCCTCATGGTGCACATGGGCGCCCCAGGCTGGCGAGTTTCCGCCGTCGCAGTGGGGTTGAGAGGGCTAAGGCCGAGCAGACCCTGATCAAAAGTGATCAGACCACCTGGCATCTGAGCAAAAGCAATTCTGCGCTGCGAGGGGGACTTGTGGGACCACGAGATAGCAGAGCTAATCTATCCTTCTTCAACACGGTACGTTGCTGGAGGACGAGCCAGCGAAGGACTTGATTGGCGCCAACCTTGGAGTCCTCCTTTAGTACGCTGACACGTTCTGGCCCCCAATCTTCGCCAACCCCAGTCCTGCAGGAGAGTATCAAACCAAGCGACATTCACTCCACATGCGCGCGCGAGCCCACAAGGTGATGAAGAGTCTTGGCTGTGAGGGTCCAGGGTGCTTGCACATGGACCGATGTTGTCCTCCTTGGTGATCCGGCATACGATATCAGAGTGTCTGCTCGCCGACCACTCCAGAGACCCTCGCTCACAAGGGTACTATTTCGAGAGCGGTTGTCCTCTGAGCGTGGCTTTGGATCGGCAGGATCAGCGGGATCGAAGGATGCGCTGCGCGTGTCGCTGTCCTCCTAGGGCACAACATATCGACCAGTGCGTTATCGTTCTATGCGGAGTAGGTGAAGATTTATGTAATGTAAGGAACGTAGAAGAGATGTAGTTGAAGTAGAGTTGATGTGGAGCGAAGGGTCCCAACACTTCGGGTCGCCTTCAGCCCTGGTGGAGGAAGGTACGAATGAGGCAATTGCGCCTAGTGCTCGAACGCCGTTTTCATCGAGGCTACGGAGACTACTCTGCCGACATTGCTCGTATCGTATCGTAGTCGAGGTATGTTCTACGCACGTTTTTGCTGTGGGAAATGAGGTACCTGGCGACCTCACTGGGTATGACGTATTTGATGGGCCCACGCGAGAAATCTTCGCCTCCGAACAACCCTAGCAACCACGGAGTGTCAGCAACACGTCTCAACAATAGGTCTCATACAACGTTCATAGAGAACAATGCACGCTGGCTTTCATTCCATATATCATAACATGTCGTTATATTGCGATCATAGTTGCGTCGCATTTGTACTACCGAGCCGGAGTGAGGAGCTTGTGATCTTTCGCATCAATCACTTAACAGCACGGCACCACAATGATCCCTTCTTCCATTTCCGACAGTTTTCGAGGTATCGGATGTTTTTCGCAGTATGGAGTCGATCTATAAGTATTTGAGTAATGAAAACGAGTCCATAAGTGCCTATCTAGGTAATATCTACACAGTCTAAGTATGGATCACAACGCCGAATCACGTTCTATTAAAGCCTGGGTATCGAGAACAACAAACGCCCCTTAGAAACGAAAGAGATATCACCTGAACATCCAAGACACCATGGCTCTACCAAGTGCATCGCACCCACTTCTCTCATGGCGTCAATCGGCAAGTGATGAAGCGCGGGCGCTTCACCTGCTTTGGTTGAAGTCGGTAGAGAAAGTGGCAGATATAGCCAGGATGTGCTCGAGAAGTCAATCAGCCGTACTGACCTACCTTCTCCTCCTGAGATTTCTCGCTCGATTCGCCGCTCGTATTGCTGCCCTTGCTGCCTCCTCTGGACTCAACTTTCCTGCCTTTTCTTCTGCCGCCTTCAAATTTCGCCCAGACCATTCGTTATTCCAGCAAGTGATCGCTGTTGCGAACTTGAGCAAGCTATGGAAATAAGTGAACAAAGGGTACGCCGGGATGATAAAGTACAATACGAAGTCCAAAGGATGTTCCCAAAACCATGGCCAGGTCTTGTTGAGCTTGGCAAACCATATGAAGAGAATCAGGCAACAAAATCGCGCATTGCCGCTCGGGGAGTCGAGATAGAGGTTGGAGTACCAAAAGGTGAGGACTGCCGCACCATCCCAGAATAGAGCTCCATTGTACATCCACGGGAAGTACACAGTCCACACCGAGATCGGCCATTTCCACCAGATGGTTCGATCAAAGAAGAGCGCTATTGGGTTTTGTCGAAACGTCGTGCGACTCCAGCGTTTGCACTGGTCTATGAATTTGAAGTTCTCCACGTTTCCCAGCGACGTGGACATGGTTGCTTCAGGCGAAGATTGGATCTTGATGCTATGCCCATGGTCAATGACCCATCGTGTGATGAAATTGTCGTCATCTGCAAGCAATGGCCCGACTCCCTTTTCCGTTAGGCCAATACTCTTGAATCCAGCGAGTAAATATCCCATCAACGGGACATGCCAACTAGTAAGCCATGCCAGCCATGTGAAGACGCTGCCCCCAACATATTCCTCTAAAAACTCCTCTTTGAACTTTGTATCTTGTACTATTTCAGCCAGGACGAGCATGGTTCGACCAGACACGGCAAAAACACCACCATCAGCGGTATTAGATGCCTCTGTCTCGTAGCTGTGGCGCATAAGATATAGCGCGCCCATGGTGTTCCACATGCCTGCCCAATACCATTGCACGCAGTACTCCAACCAGCCCATATCCTCAGGCCTGCGACCTTTTTTGGGTTGAAGTATTTCTTGTTCGGGAAAATATTCTTGCGTTTGAGCCGTATCGAATGCAGGTGTGGCTGGCTCATCGTCTCCGGGTTGCGGAGGCCGAGTTTCAAGACGCTGGTATACAACCGACTTGTGCGTACCAACGAGTCCTACTTCTGGGTCATTGAAAGCTGGGAGAGTTGCTTCCAAGAGATTCTTATGCCAGATCGCAGTATCGTCGACCAAAATGATGACCTCCGTCATTACACGATTTTTTCCCTCCTGGTTCACCTTCCCGATGGCCTGACAGGTCTGTTTCCGCTTGTTGGAGTGATTGACATATGTCCATCCGACTCTTGTATCCACTTCCGTTGGATCCAAGTCCATTGGACCCACGTCCTTTGGCTCATCTTTGTCTCTTTGTAGGGATATTCTTATTGGATTATCGATATTCTTTGCAAGGGTCACTTGCAATTCCTTCATCACTTCTTTGATATCTTTTTCAGCCTTTTTATTGTTAGCGGAGAAGATTAGACGCGCTGGCTTGTTAAGAAGGATCGCTGTAGCCATATTTGCGAACCTAGTCGAATCTTCTCCTGGGCCGACTGTCGGCACAATAACTGTACAGTCTTTTGAGTTGAATTTGGATCCTCCAGATATCGGTTTAGCCACCTTGTATCGAAAATAGAAGAATCTGGTGACGACAGTACGGTAGTATCGAAATACCATCAAGGCGAAGAACCAGAGTTGCGCCTTGTTCTTGACTGACAAACTCTTGTAGACGGTGACATTGAGGAGTGCTATCGGTACGATATGCAGAAGATTCCATGCTTCATGGGGCTTGTTCGGCGTGGGATTTTTCTCTCGTTTAGAATCGATCATGGTATAGTAGACCACCCAAGTGGCCCATCCAACAAGTGATAAGGTGTTATAGACGTGAAACCATGATGGTATTGGACCGGTGTTCGGTTTGTATTTCATGAATGATAGTAAGGTGATCCAGAATATTGACACAATACCGAGGATAGCGGCAAGCTTGTGCATGTTCTTCGTCGGATTCGCATCCGGGGACCGTGGCGGACTGGAATCGTCCATATTGCTTGTGTTTTGGTTGTGATTTCGCCTGCTGCTGCTTTCTTGAGTTTTGCTATTGTGCTAGAAGTAAACTCTAGTAGAAGTTCGTTCATATAGTCCAAAAGAGTCATTGTACCACCAGAGGTAATGAGTGAAAGTCGCGGGCCATAACGGTTGATGAGTCCATCACAGCGCCATCGGTGACTGTCGTGATGAATGTTGTCCACAATTACAAGACATTGGACTGCCACAAGGCTGAGAACGGTGTGACTGGCATCGATAGTCATCTTTGTGAGTGTACACCGCACCAGGAATTGGCAGTGAGACAGTCACGACTTCGAGTAGAATCGGGAGTCTTAAAGCCTTGACCGGTCTCTTGCATCGATGTGCTCCTTCCATTATGTGGACTTTGACGGAATTCTCTTCTTCATAGAAGGGCGAGTAACTTGAGTCGCAGCAACGTTGAACGATACTTTGATGACATATTTAACGTATTGTGTATGTCAGCGAAAGCACTTATCGATTCAAATTTCTCTCTACATCCTTGAAGACCACGCGAGCATTAAGCGGACATTATACTCATACAAAGCTTTGCGTCGCTGTAGGTGGTTGCTGACGATATACTCATGGAAGATGTGGCTGCCGCGTTCACCGCAGAACTCTTTAGATATACTAAGATCGGATCGTCCCTACGAGTCATCCAACACCCGGAATCGTCCGCCCAAATTGCTACATCAGCACGTTCACCAGGCTTGAGCAAGAATACCTAGGTACTATAGCATATATGTAACAAATACAGTTAAGATTTGCGCATCTTCGAGAGTATCATCACTGCGTATGACTGCTGTAGTATCTTAACACAGGGACCCAAGAAAATCATTCCCGATCGGGAATACTGCTAAGGCTTTTTGGTATGTATATGCTTCACCAAGGCTGAGTCTTCTTCTTTGCCTTCCATACCTCGTGCGCACGTTGACATCAATACATTGATATAACCCAGGCACCATGCAGTCCTTGCCATTCTTGATAATGCATGATGTCAAATCCACTCCCTACACCCATCATACACATAGCGCTGTGATTATGGTGACTGGACACTTGCGCAAGGACGGACGGTTACTTGTCTTAGCCCTCTGTGACACCGATCGCTAGCTGCTTGAAGAGATATGACTGGAGCTCATGTATTCGTCGGTAGACACCCTATTGGATACAACTGGAAGCACGGATATATGTCTAACAGTCTTGGTGTTATATCATTTCTTTGTCCCATCGAGCCGTGCGTAAATGCATGCCGTGTCCCAACACATTGCCGTGTATACTCGCCAATAGCAACGAGCTCAGTACACCTGACTCCTGAATGATAAGAGGAACGTTCACATAGCAACATGGTTCCAGCTTTGACGATGAAATCTACTCTCCGTGCAGATTCTGACGACGGCATGTATGCTTACGGGAAAGCCGCTCCCGCACTCGCGGCTGCAACCGACCTCTGGACTCAGCAGCTTCTCCTGCTCACACAGCGCACCTAGCTTTCTCTTCAAAACTATTTGATCGTTCTTGACTCACGAGCAGGTAGTCAACAAATCCGTTGAGCGGTGAAAGACTGCCGCAGGACACCAGAGGACCAGGCGCTTCGCACTCTTAGTCGACCCAAGCAGTGCTACCTCAAACCACGCGAGCTCCCCGCATGCTGATGATAATCCGGGGTCGAGACTCAGATACCGATGAACCCGCCATAGAAAGCACTTGTGTGGCGTGGGAGCAAGCCAGTGTGACCTACAACATCAGATGCCTCGTCCATGGGGATAAACCTTGCGGGGTCTGTACCACGACACACCAAAAACTCATCTAAATCTCGTCCTTACCGTCCACAGGTCGACCTTTTCTTGTCCCGAGACTCTCTGGAATGTTTCTAGTTCTGGAATGCAGATGTGGTCGGGCAAAACAGGCAGTCGCGGGGTGAAAGCGCTATTCCCGAAAGAACCTCGGGAAGGTATGTCGACGCGCCACGTGAACGTCTGGAGAAGGGAAGCAGTGACCTTGGCCGCACCCGACTCCTTTTCACACGCATTTCTGTTTGTCACATTTCACATCTCCATGTTACTTTTCCCCAGTTCTGCTGTCGCTTCGCGATGCGGTCCGCGGGAACAAGACCAGTTTGATGAACTGGCGATGGCTCTCCACCACTCACGAGCCCCAGAGGCCGTTTACCAGCAAAACTACTGAAACCGCCCAACGACCAGCGAGTCTAACCGCCACTACCTCTACCACGAGGCTACAAGTGTCTAGACTCCCATCATGCGGCACGTCCACGTTTTCTGGGGTCAATTTCGAACTGCTCAACTAGGCGAATTACCCGCGAACCGCTCGAACCTTGCACCTTCGTCCCTACAAGTGCTGCAACATCGCGAGGCTTTTGTCCCTAATCTGATCATCGCGCCCAATGGCATGTGTATACAGCGAGCCAGTAGGTCATGCAATCTCCAACGAGGATCCCCCTCTGCTAAGTGCAGCCGACCTAGATGCATCTTCGACGGTGAGCAAGGGGTATGGAAGCATGCGCATCTTGGTCGCGACGAAGATGCGCATGGCTATAAGTATATCACGGAATCCCGGGTCTGATATCTATTCGTACGACAATACATCTTGATCACACATACGATACCATGTCTCTCAAATCTCTCCTCCTATCTCTCCCCATCCTGTGGCGTGGTGCCACTGCACTACCAGCCGGACCTGGCTTTTGGGCTAATGGTTCATCCTATGTCTACTCCTCAGACGATATTCATGCCTCGGCTGCATACAACTTGATCGACACGTACGATGCCAGTAACTGGGTGAACAAGTTCGACGTCCAGGATATCGGTGATCCTACACGTATGTGCACTGGCAAAACGTTATGTCACTTTGTGTCTAACAAACATCTAGATGGCTTCGTAGATTACGTTAACGGGCAACAAGCTCAACAGCTTGGTTTGCTCAAGACGCAAAACGGTCAAGTTTACATGGGTGTAGACTCTACAACGCACCTTGACCCCAACGGTCCTGGTCGAAAGAGTGTACGCGTGCAGAGCAAGACAGCCTACAACCGCGCGCTTGTGATTGCAGACTTTGCACACGTGCCTGGTAGTGCATGTGGTTCGTGGCCCGCCTTGTAAGTTCCTCACCTGCCTGTAATATCGCCTTCATGCTGTGCAAGACTAACGGTGTACTTGCAGTTGGATGGTCGGTCCCAACTGGCCTAACCAAGGCGAGATTGACATCTACGAAGGTGTTCACAAGGCCCCCACCAACCAAGTCACCCTTCATACCTCACCTGGCTGCAACCCAGGGATCGGCTCAGGAGGTGAGACAGGAAGCCGCGGGGGTGGGGACTGCGGTGCCGGCGGCGGCTTCAACGGCTGCGGCATCTCCGCCAACAACCCCGTCACATACGGCTCACAGTTCAACGCCAACGGCGGCGGTGTATACGCCACACTATGGACAGACGGTGGAATCAAGGTGTGGTACTTTGCCACCCGCGACATCCCCGCAAACATCCGGAGCGGAAACCCCGATCCCGGAACTTGGGGTACCCCGATCGCAAACTTCGGTGGAGGATGTGATTACAATGCCAAGTTTAGGGACTTGAACATCGTGTTCGATATTACCTTCTGTGGAGACTGGGCGGGAGGCGTTTGGGGCTCGAACTCTTGCTCCCAGCTTAACCCCAGTTGCAATGCTTATGTGGCGAACCAGCCCCAAGCCTTTGGTGATGTAAGTCTTCCTCCTCTGGCGTTTGTGGAGGAAACAAACTAACAGTGAGTAGACGTACTGGCTCATCAACTCCGTGAAGGTCTACAGCGTCTAGATCTCCACTAATCCACCTTCTTTACACATTCTCCAGCTTTGCCTAGATGGCAACCCCATTCGTTCGATGTGAATACCTATGCTTTCAACCCCTTGTTGCCTTGGAGGATCACGCACCTTGGACAGTCGCTCTATACCACTCTCGTCTTTATCAACTTTTTATTCTTGTAGATACCTATACCTACCTTCTATCAGATATCCCATAGTTTCTACTGCACATCAATAGCTTGCTTCAAAGCTTCAACTTCGCTTTTCTGCCACCCAGTGACCTTGCCCTGCCACTTTTCGCCCTTGCCGCCTCCTTTCGCCGTGCTGACAACCTCCTTCACCTTCGCCGCCATCTTCTCAACCAAGTCAGGTTTGCCAAACACGACGATGGATCCAGAACTCTTGACCTCGCCAGAGCATAGGACCACAACAGCCTCTCGCTCTTTGATAACGTCCTTGACTTCAAAGAGCACAAGATTGATGAGGTCAAGACCATCTGCTACGCGATGCATGAATGCAGTGTCATGGCTTTGAAGATATTTCTTGATGCGATCGCCCTCAAATTTTGCTATTTCAGCTAGCAGTTTCTTCTCCTTCTTCTGCCCTTCAGAGATTTGGTCGCTCATTCTCTGTACTTTTGCCGCAACATCCGCAGGCGCCGACCCGGATGACAAAGACACAGCGATGGAGCGAAGACCGTTGATAGACTCCGTAGCCATCTTGATCGCGCGATCTCCAGCCGTGAAGAAGAGTCTGCAGTTGGTGCCTCGTACCGACTGCATGTGGTGCAGCATTATGACATTGATGTGCGACGAGTTCTGCAAGTGTGTCCCACAGCAAGCGTTGTAGTCCATATCTCCAATCTTGATGAACCGGACGACACCCTTCTCTTTATCGTAGTCTTCAGGTAGGCTATCGCTTCCCTTGCCTTCTGGTGTTTCCACAGTGATCGGCATGCTCTCCCTAATCTTGGCATTGCAGTTCTTCTGGATAGTCTGGAGTTCTTCTTCCGATGGTTTCCGTGGTAGTTCTACGTAGTTCATTTCTCCGGGCTGACCCATGCTCCAGCCCAGCGTAGGCAGGTCCATGGAGTCCATGACAGCTGAGAGGAGATGTTGGCCAGTATGCTGTTGCATGAGGTCCCAGCGGCGGGCGAAATCGACGGTTTGACGGACTGGTGTTCCAGGCGCGAGGGGTGTGGGAGAAAAGTGGATGCAGCGGAGACCGTGACGTTGTATACTTCTTATCGGTACTTCCTCCTTCTTTTCGTCTTTCAGTGTTGTGAGAATACCATAGTCTGTATGTTGGCCACCACCTTCCGGGAATAACACTGAGTCCGCAAGCTCGATAAGCCATGTCTTTTCGGACGCTGCATCTCCGTTTGCAAGACCTTTGGTGGGGTCTGTGGACTTCTTCGTTTTCGACTTGCCATTCTGTTGTGAGGACTTTGGCGGCACGTATTCTTCGCAGGATACTACCTCCGTCTCGAGTGTTTGGAGATAAGAATTCTTTTGGCATTGCAAAGTGCCAACAATGGCGGGAGTAGGGGCTGCAGTCACACCCATAGTGACGAAGCTGTAAGATCGATATGTGGGTTGAGGACGTTGGATGGACGATGGAATATGACTCGACGTCAAGAGCCCTCTGGAGCGAAAGATAGAGAAGCCGAGGGAAATAGTGCGTTTAGTCAGAGCATTGACTACAGACATGGGACGTCACTACTTGAAGGGCTTCCACTATGTATGATTCCGCCAAGATACAAGTTAGATGTTTGAATTTCTCTTCTGACTGCATCGTCGTCAACCAACATGAAGAAGATGCGGATGGAGATAGAGTGGCTGGGTTGGGACTAGACTACAATGGGACTAGTGTCTTCCCATCCGATCAACGCGCTCCAGTGCTTACCAGGTGCCCGCCACGATACCGCTCTGCACTGTACATCATCGCGTCGCGCAACGAACACGGCCTTCGGAACATCGTCCCTACTTCTTGGCGTATCCATGGCGACAGTGAACGCGATGGGAACGATGGCGGGTCCTGCACACCCACCGCTTCACGGTTTCGAAGCGATGATGACGTACTTGAAGCCAAAAGTCGCGAAGCTTTCGAAAGGCTTTCCTTGATCACTACTAATGAACAGACTGCTGACCTCCCTCTTTACAATGTCGCGACCGAAGAAGCCCACGCATGCAGCCGTAACGCAATTCGTCGAGACGTTCCTACCGCCGAAGGAAAACGATGTCCAGCGACTCTACCACACACCGCGAAACCCTCGATACGACCCTGAGACCGCCGTGGTTGAACAGATTGTATTGAGTGTTACCCCTACACCAGGGGTATACTCGTTGATCGGCTACCCACTAGACGAGAGCACCATTGGCGCAACGACGCTCCTCCCGAGAATATACCCCCGGCCGCCGCGAACACTATGCTTTCTGCACCGGCCTTTCCAACTCGACAGGCGCAGCGTGCGCAAAGGAACACTTGTACTTTCGAGCCATACATCTTTCGACGAAGTCCTCACTGTCGGGTGGAACACGGTGCTGGCGGAGCGCCTGGGCATGGCGACGGCGGACTGCCTCTGCGTGCAAGGCTACAAAGGAGATCCAGAGAGAAAGATTGGAATTATCGGCCGGGCCTCTAAATCTCTGGATGCAGTTCTGAGCCAAGTACAGGATGAGTTTGGAGCATCGGAGCTCGCGTACGAAGGATCCTCGGACGAGATACGCATCATTGCGATCATGAACGCGTTCAACGAGGACGAGGTGCATCGTGTGTTGGCAATGGCTCAGGAGCGCGGGTGGATAATGGAGGGTGAAGACGGTGGCCACTTGCTTTACCTGACCGGTCAACCCAGAGTCAGTGGCATGGAAGCAGCCAAAGCGCTGGGCATGTCAGTAGCCTGCGTAGGACATCGACAAGGGGAAGATTGGGGCATTCGCTTCCTCGGCCAAGAGCTTAGGAAAGCGTTCCCTGGTGCGCGTGTGGAAGAAGTGTATGAGGAGGAGATACCCGTTGTAAGAGAGAAGAAAGTGCCTGTAACACAAGATACCGCGCCGCAATGAGTCACCTGGCAGATAGTCCGAACGACTTGTCAACCGGTCTCCACTGCCTCTTACCTTACATTCCGGTCTCTTACCACCAGTGCTACCCTCATGCCATTTCCGTTCAAACGGGGGAGTCGCGGTGAGGCGCACCTTCCCATCTTTAAAGACAGCTGTAGCCTCGCGTGCTCCAACTCCCACGTCTCGAGCCACTTCTTCCACCATTTCCCCCACGCTGTTACTTTGTTCCCAATCGTTTGAATTAACCTCATTGATTCCCCTGGGTTTTGGCACTGCAACTGCAGCTTCTCAGGATGCCCTTTCCTTACTTTGACAACATCAGCACGGACTTCACCGGTGTATGGACAAGCCCACGAAAGCGAAAGGCCTCATCGTCCGAGCAAGAGGTTTTGGAATTGCCTCCATCGAAGCGCAAGTCGAGCGCGGCATCATGTCCTCACTCCATGACCATTATCCGAGCTACCAGGCAACTGTCCGCAGAGAAGGCGCATTGTTCAATCTGTCTCGAAGGCTACCTCAGCACCCCCGACGGCCGCGAAAAGGTGATACCAGTCAAGATCGGGTGTTCTCATATCTTCTGCCGGGAATGTATTGAGACGCACCTCTCCTCGAGTACGAAGTGTCCACTACCATGGTGCGATACGCACCTTCCCTTACGACCAGATGCGTGCGAGTTATGCGCAGCATGGGCGAGAGAGAATGTGGGTGCTGGATCACTTGTCGTGACAGTACGTGCTAGAGAGATGCTCGGTAGTATCAAGGATGCCCTTCGACAGCTCGCTCAAGATGACGACGCCTATACACTACCAAAGCAAGCAGAGAAACGACTCTTCGCTCATGTTCGCACCACCCTGAAGCGATACGAATGGCAGTTCCATACTGGCATCGATCTTGCTGAGCTGCTCGATCCCTTCCTGCTTGCCATCAACATCGAGGATGCGCGCCATCACTATGGCCCAGAGCTGAGCGCGCCCAAACTCGAGCATACCCAATTCCCACCCCGCGAACACGATCCTGACGATTACTCACCCGACGAAGAACCCTGGATTGCAGCATTCTTCAGGCAATGGGCGCTGGACTATGAGAAGGAGAACGGAGAGATAAAGGATGGCTGGGGCGTCTGGTCGATGAAAGCAGATGATGAGGCAAGTTGGGAATGGCCATACAAGCGGATACAGGCACACAAGACTGGCAGTGATGGGAATATTGAATACCTTGTCAAATGGGTAGGGCAGCGTCACTTGGCGTCTTGGGTCAAGAGGGAGCAGCTGGTTGCTGAGGCTCGCGACATCTACGACAAGGTGCATGGGGTATCTCATCGCTTAGAGGTGATTGGGGGGCGTGATTGAGGTTCTCCTTCCAGCTCTGGTTGTGGGATGACATCCACATGACGGATAGCGAGTGGTGTGTTTGATAAACATTCTGCACTTTTATCGTTTTCAACGTCTTGACTACCATATCGATCAAAATTGGGCACGACGGAAACTGTGTCGCACTTTATGCTTACAAAAGAGCCATATTATACGAACGCCTGCTACATGCTCTGTGTAGAAATCTCCGCATGCTTATGTACTCTTCATACACACGGTTTCGATGCTGTGTAGGCGGCAGCCAGCACCAACTCTAATATGCTCTAGTGTCGTGTTACCCTGTGATGACGTGGTTTTGACTAGTAACAAGGTTTACTTTTCCATCTAGGCTCCTTGCTCAATGTACTCGAGTCATTGTGCGGCTACGCGCATGTCGTTCCTTCCAGCCGTGAGTCGCTGTCGTCTAGGAAGGATCGTTGAGAAGTTACACAGCCTGTCAAATCTTTGGGTTCTCCATCGTGGAATCGAGCTCAGAATCCCAGGGTCTAGTATACACGTAGCGGATTGGCCGTCTTCTTGGACATCTTCGAATCCCTCAGTCTGCAAGACTTCTGCTGAACACATGGCGTCGTAAATGCGACGTATATCAAACTAGCATTGTAATTGTGTCGACTCAAGAACGCGCTGAGGGTGTCTAGCCTCCGATTGGAAAACAATGACGACGGTGCTAGAGGCCGAGAAGCAACGTTTCGGCACAGTCTACTACTACTGCATCTATTCCAGCCCGTTCTTTTCGGCACAGTCCGATGCACTACCGGAACGTCTTCGACTACTACATTCACGCTTTCCAAATAATTTCTTGGGTTCAGCCTCACCGATCATCCGATATGAAGACACCTAGACGGGCCTGCTAAGCTAACAGCGCCTCTAATATTGAGCATACGACTCTTGATTTGTCGACCGGCATTCCCTGCGCTAATTTGTTTTGGCGACCGTGCTTGAACGTTGATGAGATACCTCTGCAAGCCTCGTCAAGGAAAAGGTTACGGCGCCCTTGCACTCCGAAAATCGCGTGTCGCACATTGACCTTTGCTATTTGCCGTTGCTGCCTGTGGTCTCCAGAGGTGCCCAACGGCTTTTCGTCTCGAGTTTCAGCCCATCTTCTCATCTCGGATCCCGCCCCGCACCCGGCCGTCGCCTGGTTTCTCCTTCAGGGCTGCTACCCGTTTCACCCACAGGAACGCCTCCAGCTTTCGAGTGCTGCAGCTGCACCGACGGCGCTCGACGTTAGAGACGCCCAACATTGTTCCCTTGCTAGCGACCTGCAGGCACCTGAGACTGACGATTTACGCCAAGCCTCTAGGCTGCATCCGGGATAGAGCGCTCCACAGAACCTCGCTCAGGCTTGCTGTCATCTCTGTATCGCGCGGGCCCTGAAGTTCAGCAAGACGACGCGTTGTCTTCCTTCTCTGCATACGTCTACCCTTCCCCTGGGTCTCATCTTCCCCGCTCCTAAGTGTGGCCTCCTAAGTGTGGCGCTCACCCTCAAGTAAGACCTGTCTTCCTTTTATAAGCTTGCACCCCTCACTCTCTTTCGTCTCGACAACTTTCAGCCACTGCTGCGTGCAGCCAATATCAACATGTATCCCAATCCTCTGCCTGCAAAAGCTGGATTTTTTTCCTTGTCATACTATAAGGCGCATTCGTACCACCGTAGCAAGTCGCACTACCTGCAGCAACATCCTCATCCCTCATGTGTAAACATGGCTTTCCCATCTGGGTCAGTGAGATTTGCTGGTAGCCCGGCCCTGCTGGTAACATGGGAATATTTCAAAAATCTGGCGATTCCTCCTCTTTCAGCATTACTTTCTCGGATCTTGCAGACCGAACGCTAACATGGCATTACCTTTAGGCCTTTCTTACCCATCCATCGGTTCTAGTACCGAACCATTGGGTGACACCTCTTCGTTTTGGAAAAAGTCTAGAAGATTACATATCAAGCAAATCTTGTCGAAGAAGAGAAGACCTGTCGACTCCACGGGCTTTGCTTCCAGCGCATATCGCAGGATCCAATCGGAAAACACATCCGAATCCGGTGGTCCTCCGGCCTTGTCGCACGTGCCCATTGTCTATGATCAGATTGTAACACCCGAGAGTCCTTGTACGAATATTGATTATAGCCCTTCGCGATCGAGTGGCAGTCCTAGCCTCGCTGGCTCTCCATTGCCAAGCGACAAACCCTCCAGCGAATCCAGCGTTTCGCCTCGTCATGTGGAGATTGTGATACCAGATTGGGCTATACTTCTACAAAGAGTCTCACCGTCTTCTATCGATCCCATTTTCGATCTTGGTGGATTTCAGCGCGCACCTACTTCTCTACATATCCCGACCAGGATGGCTAGCCGGACCAACACCCTGAACTCTCAGACATCGGCACCCTATCTATCGAGTCGAAACAACAGCCAGACCAGCTTGCATCATGAAGACGGCCAAGATGGAACATCGTCGACCCGGACGCCTGGTATCTCTCAGTCACCAGCCATGCTTGCAGGCCTTGCGACACCAACGAGTTCAACCGCGGGGTTGTCGGGCTTAGTCTGCAATGTACATCGCACAACAGGCAGGGAACCGCACCCGCTCGTAGGCGCCACCACCACAATATTAGGCGACAAGCTGTATGTTTTCGGCGGCCGTCGACTTTCCAGAACAAGACCGCAGCTTACATCGGACCTGTACGAGCTTGACCTTGTCAAGCGCCACTGGACAAAAGTCGACGCCAAAGGTGACATCCCGCCTCCTCGGTATTTCCACAGTGTTTGTCCGCTTGGCGACACGAAGCTGGTTTGTTATGGAGGCATGTCACCTGTAAGCTCGTCTTCTAATCAAGCAACTTCCGTGATACAAGGTGCTCCCGCCGATGCACAACCCGAGGTGGTGGTCATGTCAGATGTTCACATCTATGATGCGCCGACAAAAACTTGGATGCACGTTTCTACAAGCGAATCTCCACAGGGTCGCTATGCTCACTGCGCGACCATACTTCCTAGCTCGGCCGTTTTCAGTTCGACCGGAGCTGCGGTGACAGCCATACGACACAATCCACCTTCATCGAATCCAAACCAAGGTTCCCTGGGAGTGCAGTTGGATGGCGAGGGCGGTGCGGAAATGCTTGTTGTGGGTGGTCAGGACAGCGCCAATCACTACATTGAACAAATTAGCGTATTCAACCTCCGGAGTCTGAAGTGGACGGAAACGAGCACATTAGGCAGAAGTTGTGGCGCATACCGAAGCGTAGTCGCGCCCCTCACTAGCATTGACCCGAACGATATTGGTGGAGGAACACGACAGGGCAGTGAAGCAAGAACACCGGAGGAACGGAGTCCGAACAAGACTGGCGAGTCATCGATGCTCATTTACTCAAACTACAATTTCCTGGACGTCAAGCTCGAACTACAAGTGCGGCACCCCGATGGTACGCTTTCCGAGAAGCCAATGCACGGCAACTTCTCGCCGCCAGGTCTCCGCTTCCCGAACGGTGGTGTGATCAACAACCACTTTGTAGTGAGCGGCACATTTCTGACATCGTCGAAACAAGAATATGCGCTTTGGGCTCTTGATTTGCGAACGCTGAGCTGGGGACGAATCGAAGCCGGCGGCAACATTTTCAGCCAGGGAAGCTGGAACAGAGGTGTGCTCTGGAACCGTCGGAATTGTTTCGTCATTCTTGGCAACCGCAAGAGGAGCTTGGTCGAAGACTATAATCATCGGCGCATCAATTTCTCGAACATGTGCGTTGTTGAGCTAGAAGCATTCGGGCTCTATGACAACCCACGCAAGGTGACGCCTGCGTCAGGGTTCAACTCTGTCAGCGCACCGCCACAGCATGATAGACTTGATATGCTTGCTGGTGGCCGCACACTGCTACCCGCAGCGACCGAGCTAGGACAAATGGCGTTGGGTATGAAGGAACTTGCTGATATGGATTTCCTCGCTTTACATGGCGAGCGCATACCCGTTAATTCCCACATCATTGCTCGACGCTGGGGTCCATATTTCAACCAATTACTCCGCGAGAGTGCTCAAAGCGCAGAGAAAGAAAACGCTGAGGCGGCGACTTTACGGCCCACTGCCACAATGCATCCCTCGAGGAACTCAAGCATTACTATTACACCTTCTATCCGAACGAACTACTCAACAGCCACAACACTTACCGCCAACACTATAACACCATCAGAGGCTACAGCTGTATCAGCGAACTCCTACTCCTCATTAAGCCCACCAGAACCTTCATCACACTCACCATCACAACGGCCTCGAACATTATTCCTACCTCACACTCATCTCACACTTCAAGCGCTTATACATTTCTTATACACATCATCACTACCACCACATAACTCCGCCTTATGCTCACCGCAGATCCTCTGCTCTCTCCTTCAATTAGCGCGACCGTACCATATCGATGGTCTGTTGGAAGCGATTATCGAACGACTTCACGTCCTATTGGATAACAGGAATACCGCGGCCATATTCAATGCTGCGGCCATGGCGGCTGGCGGTGGCTCCGGTATTGCTTTCAAGGGCGTCAACGGTGTATCAGGCACGAACGGGACCACAAATGGCTTCTCCAACTCAGTTTCGAGCAACAACAGCACAGTCGCGGACGTCGAACGAAGTCTGGATGCCGGTCTGCGCGCACTCCGCGTCAACACAGACGTAGATCGAAATCACGACGATGAGGTCAGTTCAGCGGCGTCTGAATCTACGTCGGCCTCGGCCTCCGATAGCGGTTTTGGGGATGGAAGTGGCATTGAAGACAGAGAAACCTGGAATGGTGAAATGAGCGCAGTGGTTGGGCTCCAAAAGCGAGGTCTGCGGGGCCTGATGGAGGGTCGCAGGATCAGGGAAATGGGGAGAGGAAGAGATAGAAGCAGGGACGATGGTGGTTCTATAGGCAATGGCGATGGGGTAGGCCTTGGCCTACAAGGCGCTTGATCGATATGATGAGAGAAGAGGGGGAGGCAAGAATGGTCATCTAC